GACCTAAAGCTTCCAAAAATATCTTGTCCTGAATGCGAAATTAGCCACGTTTGTGTACCTTGTTTAGCTGTATTGATGTTTCTACGTCACATCTCGCCCCAACTCCTTCAAATACTACTCCCGGTCATTTTCTGAATCGAGTAATGGCGGCAGAACATTTACGAAAATTGTAGTGCAAATAAACACACTTCCAGATCATATTTCGACTCTAAACTTGGCACGGTACGTCACTTTTACATATATTTTCGAAATATGTAATAAAAAAACGAAACCCCAAATTTAATCGTAGTAGCACTTTAAACTTATTTTTTGGTATCTGTGTGCCATCTACTTAAACAATTATTCACCTCAGTGTCGGTGAAAATGGTGGATTTTCACCAATACTCCAAGTCATCATATATCGACAACTATTCACCTCCCCTTCGGCAAAAATTGTTAATTATCACTATCATTATCATTACTATTATTATCATTATTATTATTATTATTATTATTATTATTATTATTATTATTAGGCAATCGATCTACTATCAGCGAGATGGAAAATCATACTTCGCGGTTCCCTCTTCCAACATTCCACAGCAGTTTTAACGGAGTCAGCACATCAGTTGACATGAGTTTAGGGGCCAAAACTACCTCGGACAGCAGTTGCCGTTTGACAAAGAAAACAACTAAAAACGGCTCCTTTAGGAGGCAACAATTGTTCTAAAGCGCTGACCAACGTACGTGTTTCGTTACTGAATACTCGCACTCGAGAGTCGTGGGCACATCGCTTTATGGCGACCACAGTAAGGTAAAGGAATACGTATTATGTTAGGGGGCGAACTCGCAAAGTTGATGAGAAAGATCTTGGAATGGGGTGAATTCATTAGTTATGGCTACGAATCGATTAAAGGGTACGAATCGACTGGTACGCGAACAATGACAGTATTTTCCCTCTACTTTGGAGGCAATGTTAAGCCCACTCTTACAAAGTGAGTTAAATGGTGCTCCAAAATAGAAACGAATAAAAGCGCCTACAAAAGGCACTCTCAAAAGGGAGACCGTCAAATAATGATTTACTTATGTTGCTTATGAAGAAAGTTCAGCATGGAGCAGGAAGTCTGTGATTGATATATGTATGTAGGTAGGTAGGTAAGTAGGTGGGCAGGGAGGTAGGTAGGTAATTATAAGTAGGTATGGATGTGTGGATGGGGGGTTGGATGGATGTTCGTATGTATGTAGGTAGGTATGTATGTATCTATGCATAAAACAAAAACCTAACCTCGAATCGTGGTGTTTTTGGCGTAAAGGGAGACTTGAATTTGGCACTGTGAATGTGTTTAGGCCTTCCTTCTCTACATATTACGCAGAAATCAGGTCCCATGTAAGTTAGAAGGCAGCCATCGACAGCAATTCCCGGCGAATCATACCACGCCTTTAAATGACAATCAAACCTCAGTTAGATGACGGACCTACACAAATGTGAGGGTAGGAGCTTGACACATACAAACATGATGAAACTAGTCTGCAAATCTAGTTGTGCACATCTCCATGCGCATAGATCTTTTTATTCCATTTTTATGTACTATCAAGAGAATTAATAAAAAACATCATTGTAAACTACTCACGACCACACAGATCTCAAGTCTGCTCCAAACGCTCGAGGGAATTAAAAAAAAAATACAGCAGAGCATGTACTCAGTAATTTCCCCCATCTCGCATTCAAATTTTCTCGAGAAAAGGGATCGTTATGTAGATAAAAAAGATAACAAAGGTGTTTCGGTGTTTCCTGATGTGGCAGGATCGATTCTGTATGGTATGGAACCTCCTATTTAACATTTACCGGAATGTAAGCCTGAAAGACACTTACTCTTTCGCCAAACGCAAGTTGCTCCTTCTTGTTTCCACGCGGTCGGAATACTTGCTGTGCTATCTGATTAATCATTTTCCGACTCCCTTCATTTTCTTGCACTAAATGATCTATCTTTTTCTCCTCTAAACAAAGAGAAGAAACAGCCTATCAAATTGGCCTGTTTTGAATAGTGTTAACCAAATCATTATAATACGCCTGGGTTTAATTCGTATATTTTTGATAATCTGAAATTCTGTAGAAATATTCGTTCGATAATAGCCTTGACGGTTTTCGTAGGACAACAACTCTTTCGTGCCTTCTTTTGTTTTATGACCCCATCACAAATATGCATGTGAGGTTATCGACAAATCTAGCATATCGCCCTACCTGTGAGGGGAAATTTATAACCATACTTCTCGAAGTAGATCCTTTGTAGTTTCACCACCAATTTATCTAGGGCTCTACTCTGTCGAATTAGAGAAAGCTCAAATCAAAAGCAAAGTAAAATAACTGAGCAGAAGTAAATGACAACTTTCAACAACAGTGGCTTCTGTCAAAACTCACAAAATTTGCGTGGTGTCCCTGGCTTACCCGAACTTCCTCATCCAAAGCAGGAGTGTCAAACTGTGTTCTCCAGAGTAACATCAGTGGGACAGTTAAAAGGTTGAAAGGCACTGGTATCGGATGATAGGTGCTGTAAGTCCTAACAGTAGTTGCTCTTCTGAAAGACCACTCCTGGAGTGAATTATCCTAAAAATGGGGAGATAAAGGGGGCCTTAACAGCCTGCAAGGACATACAAGCCGATAGGAAAAACAGGTGCCACTCTTTTTGAATGAAGAAAAATTATGACATTTCAGTCATGCAGAAGAAAAAATATTCAACATCATTTTCGGGATCACTATCAGTAGCTGTGCTCATATAAAACTACCGTGACATTTAACCTCTTATATAAATCGTCTTTGTTACATCGCGACAATTTACTGAGAGGTACAAATTGAAAACCCCTGAATAAAAAGTTCGATTTTAAGACCCCTGGTTGGAAGAAAAGCATTCACGATCGATCTAAAAAAAAACTCTCTGGTACAGTCTCAGACCAAAACTACAAATATCATACACGGGAGCCTTGAGCTGCTCCTCTTGAGCTGACCATCGCTCACGCAGAAAACTACATGGGCATAATATGGGACCTTTTTGACTAGTTGGATTAGAACATTGCTGACAAAAACCATGTTTATAATCTCGTCAACTCTACGAAAAATGTAATTCACATCTTATGCCAAAAAGAGTTCGAGTTTACTGTCGATTGCTCCTCGTACCTTCTGAACTCTGGATTATGAAGACTGAATAAATTACTTCCGCTAACGTAGAAAGACTGTTTAGTACCTGAACTCGCTGATAAGTATTGGTGAGCAAAGCAATCATCATGTTAACGAGAAGAATAACTCCCGTGATTAAGAAGAAGCTGTACAACAGATAAATCAGGGATATGGATGGATTGTCGACGGAATTCAACTTATCCAGGTCAGCTAAACTCAGTAAAGACCAGCACAGGTGTGTTGCCATGTTCCACCAACTGAAGAACCGTTTCAAAAACAGCGAGTTAGATCAACTTACCAATAAGATTTTCTTCAATTGAAAGCATAATGACCGCCATAGCTGTTTCCGAACATATTCCGCGTTCTGGAAGCTATTGGTGTCTCTGCTCCTTCATCAATTATCGATTCAGAAAATTTTATTTCGAGAAAACTGGTCAGGTCCATTACGTCAAACATCAACATAGTTTTGCCTTGGTAAACAGAAATAGGAACGACGGATTCCAAATTTTCGCAAATGAAAAAACTGTAAGGTGCATCTTTGAAGAAGGCAAACTGAGTAGCTGGCTTGCCTTGTAGGTTTTGAGAGGCGAAGTTGCGTAAACAGCTAGCTGACGTACTCGATCACTGACGTTTTTTGCCTCGCAATTTCAGCTCACAAACACGAGCTTTAAATGATCGTGACGTCATAAAAACGCGGAATTACAGTTGTGCGAAAATGGTGTAATTTAGTATATTTAGAACTTTAATGCTGAAAATGGGAATGAAAACAGCAACAACAATTTTACTCTTACCAAATAATCCCTGAGTCACTACAGGCCCTTAAAATAATAAGAGAAAATTAATGTTTAAAATTTGCCCAGTCCTAAAGATAGTAAAAACACGGGCTTTCGAAGAAAGTTTGGCATTCTAATGTAAGTAATTTTCCTTTCCTGTTAGGCTTTCCATCCAAAAATCAAACCTTACTTGATTAGCTTTAAGCCATTTGTCACCTTCTTTGGGCGCGAGACATACATGAGGTTACTAGTCATAATGTTAATAGAAGGCTTTCCTACTCCACTACCTACTTGAAAACATTCACACTCTGACGAAAAAAAGAGTAACAAACTAAAAAGCCGAACAAGTTAGAATCTGTCATTCAGGGGTTCGATAATATGAGAAGATAACGAACGTACTGTACTCACAAATCTTCCGCAGAATCTTTTCCTGAGGTATAGGTTTTCTCAGCAACAAAAACCTTAGTCATGGCCATCCAAAACGCCAGAACCGTGGCCAAAAACTGCCAAAATATCACAATGACATCCCAGATAAAAAAGAATAAGGCGATTTGTATTGCGCCTAATCCCTGCATGCACTCCATGACTTGACCAAAGGCTCTTATTGTGAGAAACATGGCGATAAACCCATAGAAATACTCGGACACAGCCAAGAGTCTGTTGTCTGCTACGTCAGTGGAGTTTCTACTTGTGAGTATGCGTAAGATAAAGCTAATCAGGTAGAAGAGATCAATGATGCAGTCAAGCACATTCCAACGGTCACTACAAAAGCAATGGAAATCAACTGCATTAGGGGAGCATAAATAAATAAAGTCAATGCACAGATCAAATGTCATTCAGACGCAAGAGAATCGGTCCTCGGATGCACACTACATTTACATGTTGCTACATTTTTCACACAGGAAAAGCGACGAAAAAATAGGGGGCCCTTATTCATGTGGCAAAACAATGAGTGTGGGCTCGAAACACCAAAACGTTTAATACTGGCTCCTAGTGCTGATGCACCCAAGTATTGAAAATGGTTCACCTTATTATGATTGATGCAGCTCGAAACAAAGAATAGAAGCCTATACTGCTGCACGCAGGCAATCAACAGTGGTCCATTTGGTTACCTTAGTCAAGATGGTTAACTAGTAAATCCGTCACTGAAAACTGATGGGTCACTGGTCACGTAGATGTATGCCCTATACATGTATATGAATCAAGTATTGTTCAAAAGTCAAAAACGCCAATCAAAAACCCGAAATACCTAAAGTATCTGGTAAACTTCTCTGGCCAGATATTGTCATTGCTCGTCTCATTTTCTTCTGATCCTTCGTTGTTGGGTTCATCACTCTCTTTATTCAACATTTTGCGTGCTTTTACTCCGGCCTTTTTAGCGCTAATAAACTGATCCACCTCCATGAAAATGCGTCCCAGGAAGAAAACTAAGATAGCCCATTCTAGTCGACTGAAGGAAACTGTTGAAGGGCTTAGGCAAATGGCGAAGTGAAGACCAACGAGGGTAAGATAGCTCAGCATGTCGCGAAAAAAGATGAAATAAGGAGTCGTAAAGTAATCCTTGTATTTCTCTGAAGACAAGGAGTAACACGTTAGCTTAGAATGAAAACTCTCGAGATTGAGAGGAAACTGGAACAGCTCTGGTATTGATAAAAATAAGCGAAAGAGGTTTTACACTACGTTTCGATGACGCCATGTCATCATTTTCAAGTGAAAAGAGAAACTTTTTAACAAGTATACAGTCAGGGGTTCTTACAATCAGGGGCTCCTACAATCAGGGGTTCGTACAGTCAGGGGTTCTTACAATCAGGGGTTCTTAGAATCAGGGGTTCTTACAATCAGGGGTTCTTACAAACAGAGGTCTTACAGTCAGGGGTTCTTACAATCAGGGGTTCTTACAAACAGGGGTCTTACAATGA